GCCCGCCCCTACCCCGGAGCTCCGGCTGCAGAGTCCCTTGCACTGGGCTATAAAAAGCTGGGTTAAGCCACGACTCAGACCTAAGATCCTTGCCACGCCATGGCCTCAGACGCGCGGCTCCCACCGGAGCGGTCGGCCTCGGAGGAAAGCGCCTTGCAGAGCTCTGGGGGATTTAGCCTTCTCCCGCCTTCTCCTAGCAAAGCCTCTCCTGCCGCGCCGCCGACCTCCAGCGAGTTGCAGGCGATCCTCAAGCCTAGGGCGGCGTCCTTCTCCGCGCCGTCGGCGAGCGGACCCCTGCTGTCCCAGCACCTGGCAGCGGTAGCTCAGCAAGCCGCAGGCGGGGTCCCTACTACCGCTCCGGCCGCGTCCCCGCCATCCACACAGCAGTCCTCCCAGCGCGATCATGGTGTGCCCTCCGACTGGAGTGGCCTGTTGGACGAGCACAGGCTGCTCGTTCACCTGCATCTGGCCCAGCTTCGCGAAGAACGTCTGTGGAGGGGCGGCAACCTCCAGGTACCAGTCCTCGGGGCGGGGCCCTTCTCACTGGCGGATCCGCTCCTTCCGCCTTCAGGTGTCTAAAACTCAGGAGGCCCGGCCCTTCAGGTGCGTCTCCATTCGAGGCACTAGGCGGGATTCCCTGACTTCCCGCACCAGGAAGGAATTTTGCTAATAGTTGCCTCCTAACCGGCCCTATTGCATTTGGGGAATTAGAACGAAAAGCAGGTGCCCTTGGAGTTGGGGTACCAATGGGTGAGACGCCGGGCCACCGACGGCCACTTAATCCCATCCCGGGATTAAGGTGATAGGGCTTCTCATAGCCCCTCCGTTCACCTTAAGCAGGCAGCTCGTGCTACCGGTGGACACGGGCTGTCCCAAACTCTCCCTGCCCACCTTTTCAATCAGGCTGAGATCTGCAATGACTTCCAGAAAGTCGTGTTGTGGCTTCTGAAACGTGAGAACATCTTTCACTTCTCTCAGACCACTTTTAACCTGGCTCTCACCATCCTCAACCGCCTCCTGGTTTCAGTGAAGGTAGGGAGGCCTCTAAGGGATGGTGAGAGATAGTGGGACACGAAACTAACCTTTGTTTCCTATTGCTACCTGAGAAGTGAGTGCTCCATATGCATAAACCAATGCATATAAACTAAGTCACATGCCCCAAGTGGTAAAGCTGGGATTAGAACCTCTCCATGGACATTTGTCTGGGTGTCCTGTAATCCTCAGGATTGGATTTGAGGACCTATTTGGGGAAGGGCTTCCTGTTGAAGTAGGAAGTCCTTGCCTGGACCTGTCAAGCTGGGCTTGAGGCAGGACAGGATGGTATCCCTGAAAAAGTACCATATTTCCTAACTACTTTCATCCCATATCAAAGGAATTACTGACTAGTCACCAGTGATTCTGAAATCAGAAACATCTTTGTTGGTAATATTTAAAAGTGACACCAACTGGGTGCCTGATGGTAGAGGCCTGTGATTCCAGCTACTTAGGAGGTTGAGGCAAGAGGATGACAAGTTTAAGGCCAGCCTTGGCAATGTAGTAAGACCCTGTCTCAATATAAAAAAGGGCTGGCGAGGTAGCTCAGTGGTAGAGTGCCCCTGGGTGGTAGAGTTTCCCCTAGGGGAAAAAGTTTGTTTTAATTAAAGAAAATATCCCCACAGATGCTTTGCAGTTTATTTCTGGCATTCATAGTCTTCTCAAATGTGTTCGTACTGCAGATAAAAAAGAGGTTACTCCAAGTTATCACAATTACCTCCTTGAGACTTGCTGTAAAAATGAATGAAGAGGAGGAGGTATGCATCCCTGGAAGTCTGCACTGGGCCACATTTGAAGGATAGAGATGTGACACTAGAGCACTTGGGTTTCCTGAAAGGCTGTGCCCTTGGGAATGATGAGCATTTTGGGAAAATCACTTGGGATCTCTTCTGGCCCCCACCCCCGCTCCTGCCTTTTGGCTTGTCAGGCTCAACCTTCACAAATGGGGAAGCACAAACACCTGAACTCTCCTGACCCAGCAAACCCAGAGGCCTGACCTCCTGGCACATACTTCTGATATTATTGGTAAATGCCATGTGTCACGCCCACTAAATAGAGGCATCTGCTAATGAGAAAAAAAGTCTTCCAAAACCATGTGGCTTAAAGTCTACTCCCAGAAACTATGTCTAAGAAAGCTGCTTGATGCTTAAGGACTTGGTTATGCCAATGAACTTAGTCCTTGGGGACTCTGGGATCCTTCTTCTGAGAGGGGCAGGAAGGCTATGTGCTGAAGGTAAAGGAGAGTCCCTGCTGAGTGCTTCAGGTTTGCTTGCTTGGCCACCTTAGTTTCACCATGTTTTTCTGTTTTGGAGGAGACTGTCTTTCAGTACCCTTCCCAAACCTCCCCACCACCTTCTGAGCCCTTCTACTTTGGGATGGGGAAACTGCTGTCCTTTCCAAGGGTCTCCTTTAGCTGATCTCAAAGTCTGAGGAAGCAGGAACAAAAGGCTTGTGTGTCCAGTTCCAAACTTTCAATAAAAATGTTTTTAACCCTTATTTATTATAATTTATGCTCCCTGAACTTTTTTTTGCCCAATGAAAAAATCAAGTAAATATCCCTTAAAAGAAGTATTTCTGAAAGTTATAGCAATATTTTAAATACCTGAAAAAATAGGACGAAGTTTTTAATGCACTCGATACATCAGTGTTTACTCATAGACAAGTTTTATTATTCCTCTGGACTAAGAAGTCCCTCTGGAGAAAAGTCATATTTTTCCAAGAACTAAACCACCTTCAAAGCAGGTTGAAGGGAAGTGTGTCCAGCTGTAGTGGTGCAAAAACCACAGGAGGTTTTGTCAATGTGCCTGCCTGGTGTGGACCAGGAAGCTCATGAGCAGAAACTTTTTATAAGAAACCATGATAGGGATCAGGAACAAGAATAGTCCAAACCCATGGCTCCTGAAAACCTTTGAGGAGTTCTTGTAGCTGAACACAGGAACTGGAACAGCCCCACCCAGTCTCCAAAGCACCTTTGGGTCTGAGCTGGCATGCAGTTGGGGGATCAAGACCTGTTTGCAGAGGGTGACCATGTGACATGCACGACAGTGTCATAACTTCTGGGGACTTGATAGATAGCCAAGGTCTGATTTGGTTTTTCTTTTAGAAGCATTTTCTGTGGCATGCCACTGGAAGACAACTCTGCTCAGGTCGTATATGCCCAATTCCCCATGGATAAGAAAACAAAAGCTACTATACCAATTCCCCACGGATAAGAAAACAAAAGCTACTATAACATAATGTAGGGCTTTGGCCTCTTTATTTTCTTTTTACAGTTGATTCCACGCATAAAAGACTTCATAAAGCACTATGGCTTTGGCTACACCCCGAATGAGCTGCTGAGGATGGAGCTGGCTATTCTGGACAGACTGTACTGGGACCTACACACTGGGACACCGCTGGAATTCTTGACTATAGTAAGCATGAGGAGTTTGCCGAGTCTCCCTGAGACTCATTTGTGCCTTTGGAACAGCTGTTCACAACATAGGACAGCAAAGCACAGGCGTGCACACGTCCTTGCACATGCACCACGGTGAGGTGACCCACAAGGCTCACAACATACGGGAGTGAAAATGTATCCAACACCATTCCACCAGACTCCCATTTCTGAAGGACATTAAGTTTACTTGACAAAGATTTTTAAGCGGCACTATTATGGTGAGTTTCTCTTTTAAATACACACTGCAAAAATATTTAACTTTCCATTCTATGAATATTGTACATAAATATCTGTCTGCTTTTGCTACACTTTACACACATTCACTTAGCTGTCTTTATTCACCTACACACAATCCTTATTGAGGCTTTAGACCATATTGATCTGGCACTTAAAAAAATATCATACATTAGTTTGGGTTTGTTTTAGTTAGGGGAATGATCATCATTTTCAAGGATATGATTCTGTTAGTAAGGCAAAATTATGCAATGTGAAAATGTCATGGGATTTTGGTCTGTTATGAAGCATGAAGATTAAATTACTAAGAGATGTTTCATTATGAAAACTGGACACTGTTGCCAAGTTGAGTTTCTTCTAGTATCAAGCAGATACAAGTAACTTTTCTGCTACTTTGATCTTGAATAGTATGTTTCTATTTTTCAGATTTGAAACATTGTCATCTAAGTACTTTAGGCCTGCAAAGACTGTCACAAAGCAGACTGTATTTTCTCTCCAGGGTTGAGGCTCAGGTTGGCCACAGAATGGGCATTAAGCCTCAAGCCCCTCATGGGGCCATGGATGAGAAGGGTTGGGCCACATTTGATGCTCCCTGAAGGAAACGGAGATTGTTTGCACTTTTGGTCATTGATATATGAAAAGTATGGGGTTTTCTGTTCTAATATTAAAAACCATGGTCTCCAGTTCCACTCCCTGGTGGTCCTGAGCCGGCCCCATGTGGTGGAGCTGCTGCCTCAGAGGAATCCTTCCCTCCACGTCGCGTCCCTGACCAGGCAGCTGCAGCACTGTATGGCGGGCCACCAGCTGCTGCAGTTCAAGGGCTCCACACTGGCTTTGGTCATCATCACCTTAGAGTTGGAGAGGCTCATGCCCGACTGGTGGACTCCTATATCTGATCTGCTAAAGAAAGCACAGGTAGACATCAACTTTGCCCCAAGCCTGGCTCTGAGTTTTGCCCCTTTAGAAGATATACTGTGCCCCTGAAAGAGTACTCATGGCCCTTCTTGGCCCTTGAGGGCTCCAGAAGATGCTCTGGCCTTGATAACTCTGGCAAGAGTCTGCCTAAGGGCTACGCATTCCACACTTGGCCACACTCTGTGGACATCAGTATGAACACCTGCACCTTCACTGGATCAATGCAGGTGGGTCCCTGACAATGAGAAATTTTATTCAATGGCAATCCTTAGTGCCAAGAAGATTGGGTGTGTGTGGAGGGGAATGCCCAGCTCAGAAGGAAGCAACCTTGAGCTTAATATTGGGAATTGTAAATTGCAGACCCCCCCCCCCCCAATCTGTCTGAATCTATGGCACCAGGCCCTGGAGGGTCAGAATCCTTGCAGACAGATAGGTCAGGATGGAGCTGTGCAATTAGACTCCTGACAGTTTACTGAGGTTGGAGAGGGACGTCCCTGACCCAATGGGGTTAATGCTGGCGGGTTGGGTGGTTGGATCCTGCTTGGGTACTCAATTGCCTAAACAGGCTGGCCACTGTTTTAACACAGGTCATCTGTACCGAGCAGTACAGCTGCTGCAAGGAACTTGTAAAGCAGCACCTGGGAAGTTTGAATCAGCCTCCCGCATAGGCAGCTCCGTTCCACCTGCCACCCAGACTCTCTGCCATGACCCTGGTTCCTTCACAGCATAATGGGAACCCTCCATGCATGGACTCTTATAAATTCTTTGGCTTTATGAATCCTGTAACAAGACAGGAAGAAGGCCCAGAAGAGTAACTGAGAAAGATCCTCTGGCCCTAAGAGAAAAATTTCAGGAGAGGGGAAGAGTGGGTCATGATCAACAGTAGCAAGGGTGGTCTGACAGATACTATCTTGCCTTCTCCCTTTTCCCCCCAACCTAGCAGGTAATAAATGCATGCTTCAATGGCACTTGTTTTTCCTTCCTTCTCCAACAAGGGCTGATATTGGCCCTTTAGAGAGCTGAGGCCAAAGGGTGGGCCCTGCTTAAGCCTGAAGGGCTGGGGCTGGTCCAGATCCTGACTGACCAGTTCTTGCTGTTCTACATGCCAGAGCCAGCCAGGTCCATGTGTCCCAATCTCAGCTCCATGCAGCCCCTTCAAAACTGGGACAGTCTCTCCAGACTCATTTACCTTGATGGGTCTTAGCTTAAGTCTTCTCCATAAGGTCTTGATCTTAGAGTAGACCTTATTTAAGGTACAGTAACTCAAAAATGGTTTAAGCACTGTTTTCCCTTTGTTACTGTGAACCAAAGTAGTTTTTTAATCTAAGTAGAGGAATTTCATGCTAATTAATGGAGATTACTGGGTGACACCTGTGAGGGGAAGGCAGCAGTTCTGAGCGCTTTTGTTGGGGTAGACAGGTTTCGAGGCCCAGTCTGCTCCAACCACTGTGCTGCCAGAAAGAGGAGGATGTTACTTGTGTGGCTGAGAGAAAGACCAGCTGCCTCTCTGAAGCCATGATACTATAGGGCCATTCTCTAAGCAGTAGAGCCCAGCTGGCCCAGAGGCCAGCTGGAGCTGTGTAAGCAGAGTTGGGGATTTGAATGACTAGGGCACACATTTAGAGGTGGTTTGTGAAGTCTCTCCACTGTGAACGGTTGTTTTCAGGAATGTGCTAAGCCATGGTGGGTAGGGATATGGTCTGCTACTAGGGGCAATTTGGTAAGAACCAGATATACTATAATCACATCTATACTAAAGTCAGTATACATCTGTATCTTTTCTTGACACAAGTTTGCCTATTGGAGCTCCTGTAAAAAATAGACTTTAATTGCTTTCAACACTGTCTTGAATCTTTTCTTGCACTTACGGAGTACTGTGCATTCAGACTTCTAGAGTCAAATACATTAGGAACATACTCTCCTGGGTCCTATTCATAACTATCCTCCAGGTAGATCCTGCAAGGACCAAAGTGAGAAAATAGGGACTGAGGTTGGGGAGCTGAGAGGCCTAAAAAAAGACTGGTATGCAAACATCTCCCATGAGGGTGTAGGTCAGTTCTACATCTGGTAGGCAGGTGGCAGAACCTCCAGTACCCATTTTACAGATGAAGATGCAGCTGCATGGCCACCACTGCCCTCCACCTCCTTGCCTCTAATGTGAGTGAGCACTGCAGTGGATGAGGCAGGAGTTCATCCTGAGGACCCACACCAGGCTTTGGGGAACTGCTGGGAGGCATCTGGGCCATGTAACCAAGTGGCTCTACATGTAAATCTTAGTGAAAGAAGGCAGACCTGTGATCCCTGCCTTGTTGTTCAGCAGTTCTATAAATGACCTAACCCTTGTTGGGAAGCTAACACTTCCATTGCCAAAGTACCAATTATACATTTTTAAAAGTCTGTGCTGGTCGCCCTTGCCTCAGAGTACCAGATCTGTGCTAGTCCCCTCTAACATTTTCCCCTCCTGACATTAGGAATTCACATTCCACTAGGATCAGACACTAGGGATCCTCTGAAGGGGGATTAATATGGACACAATCCATCTTTTGTCTCCACCCATACAGAAAGGCGGGGGTTGGTAAAGGACTGAGGCTGCAGAAAATGGAGATGGGAGAAAGCCCAGAGGAAGATGCCATAGCAGTGGGAAAGGTCAACGGGCTAAGGGAGGTGGTGGCCGGGGGAGTGTCATGGATCTTTCTTAAACATGTTCAAATGGTACTTCCCCCACATGGGTGAGTCAAGTTGTATGATATTGCTCCTTCCACCAAGGAGGCCCAGCTCCCTCTGGCTTCCTGGAGAGTCTATCCTTCAAAGTCTGGTGAAGACTGCCTCCCTTAGGTAGAGTTGAACTACACCTTCAGCAGGGGTGTCGGCATCCAGTCTTCCCGTTGGGCTGTCAACTCCCCAACCTCAGTCCCTATTTTCTCATTTTGGTCTTTCCAGGATCTGACTAGGTCCTAGAAAGAAAGCTTCTCAACAAATGGACCAACCATATGTGCTTGTTATTTTCTCCAAACACAGTTTTCTCTTTCTCAGCCATTTACCTGTATCCCAGGGCTTTCCACTCTACAAAACCTTCCCAGGTCCAGCAGCCCACACTGTCAAACTATATACCCTAACAATGACCACATTTCCAGTCTTCTTACATGAGCCTACTGGGATGCCAAGAGGTGGTTACAGCTTGGGACTTAGGAGTACAGACAACTAATGTTCCAATCCCAACTCTTCCATTACTTGCTTTGTGACCTTAGGTAATTACATTAACTCTCTGTGCCTCACCTGTGGAATGTGGAGAATAATGGTATCTAATTATAGGAAACTGATGAAGATTAGAGGAGTTAATGCATGTAATGCAGTTGAGAGCACACAAATGTTAGTTGTCCCGGGTCAAGGCTCCTTATAAACTCCTTGAGGGAGTTTCAGTCTCATTTCTTTAACCCAGTTGCCAATAAATATTCATGCCACAGACTTAATTTTCTTTTTCTTGCAATTCTTTCCTCCACCCCACACCATACAAAAGCCCTTCAGAGATGTCAATAGCAGGATTCACTATTGAAACATAACTTCTGCAGAAGTAACTCTCATGAAGTTCACAGAAAAGACAAGCTGTATCTTAACACAACTGTAGCGTATTAATAGGCTCAGGAAACTTGTTAAATCAAAACTTCTGTCCAAAAAAGACACCATAAAAACTCAAATAAATGCAAAATTTAATGGGGAAAAAAAAGTACAAAGTGAACTGAAAAGAACAAAAACAATCAATGAATGGAGTAAATGAATTAACAAGTGAAGCAGTTTTAGAAATGCATGTTAACATAACAGACTAGCAAGCCACACTTCCCTCAGGCCTCTTATCCAGTAAAAAAACAAAACAAAACAAAACAAAAAACCGACAAACAGGGAACCCACACATGGACAAATAAAAACATAAATGCAATCAATCTGAACAATTACAAGCCTCCTATGCTGATGAGGGATACCACACATTCTGGTTTGCCTGGGATGGTTCTGGTTTATGGATGTTGACCTGGCTTAATTATTGACAGCATCCCTTTTCTCTTTCAAAAGTCCTAGTTTGGACAATAATTTTATGGTGATTCTACCCCAAACCAACATAGTTCAGGAAAGACATAACAGTAAATGCCAACATGATCCTATATGACATCCCTAGTAATACCAACGAATAATAACAAAAAATAAAAAAAGAGGGGAAAATCAGATCTGCACAGGGGGGCCATATTACATGAGGGGTAGATTAAATAATCATGCATTATGCTCACCTTGTATACCAAGGATTCATTTGGTCTCAGCTAAAGATGACAAAATCCCAAACACAAATAGGAGCAGGAGAGCACAGTAAGACTTGCTAAAGCTGATGACTGTGGGGGCAGCTCAGACCCCAGAAAATGCAAGTCTATCAGGTCTCCCCAGAGATGTTGGGAAGTCTTGGGCCTATGGGCAAGCAACTGGCCACAAGTATGGCCTTCCAGTATGCCTGGGGTGTGGCCAGCAGGGGTGGTGGACAGGTGGCAGAATCTTCCCTTTCCAGAAGCCTCAGGTTGGCCATGAGCCAGGAGTCCTCATTTCTTACATAACCAATGAACCTGTTGGGTCACTGAACCTCATCGTCAGATATATATTAGCTACAAGAAGATATTTTAAAGGTCATGCTTTGACCCAACTGAATACACTTTCAGATATACAATTACCCCAAGGAGGAGTCGCTCACCATCCACATCTGCCTTAGATCTGCAGTTGACCTTTTCAGATACCCAGAATGAAGTATCCCTTTCCACTCACAACCAGAGGTGGATTAACTGCAAAGATGATAAGGCTTAATCTTCAGGGTCCCTTCCAAGGCCCTGTGCCTAATTTTTCATTCATATTCTTTTTCTTAAACCAATCGTCCTAAATAGTTCAAGCTTCCAGCTCAGTAAAAAAGTCAGAATCCACCCCTGGTCACAGCATAACACTTGGAGGGTTTTCATAACATTTACAGCATAAGTAAAACCTGCTCTACTCTTGGCATATGGAGCCCCCCACATGTACAAACTGCCCCTTTATGGCTGTGGCTCAGTTAGACATACAACAACTCCCTACCTCCACCTTACTTGGAATGGAACATCATTTTACAAGGGCAGGAGGAATCCCCAACTTGGTCCTGGAAATCAATCAAGCAGGCCAGGGACAGGTAGAAAGGGGGAAAGAGTGATGGAAGATGGGGGCATGAAAAACTGCCAGCCCAGCAATAAATCAACACAGCCTCCTAAGACTCCTGGTGAGGGAGTGCCTTGAGGAGAGGGCTGGGCTTTCCTCCAGGTGGCACCAGGCTGCATAGTGCTGCAGCAACCTTGAGGCTAGTCTTCCTCTCATCTCTTCATTTTTCACCAACCGATTTTCCCGGCCATGATTTTTAACACTCATATATCCTGGTGGTGCAAACCATTGGAAGCAAAGAAGAATCAGTGCTGCCCGAACTTTAGAAAATGTTCTGCTGTAGAATGCAGCTGAAGTGGGGAAGGCTCCTTGACTGCTAATTTGTTCTCAAATTGTCCTAAATACACCAGAGACCTTCATTCTGTCCTGTGACTCAGCCAGGAAAAAAGAAACAATGAGTTTGGGGCAATAGCTTTTTCCCCACTGGAAATAACTCATTTGGAACACGCAGGATTGGCTTGAGAGCCTTATGTGAAGTCAAACACTTAACACACACACATACATGGAGTTGGTCCCTGGTTACAGCACCTTGGGGGCACAGAGACAATGGCTTTGGGCTGCTGTTCCATTTACATTCACAGTAAAAACGCTGGACGTGGTCTCGTTCATGTTCACTTTCATTCCGTAAAGAAATTCCAAACACTGTCATTACAGGAAGTTTATTACCCACCTCTCCCTTTATATTGTAGGGGTACTTTTTTTACATAAGAAGGTTTAGAGATATTTTTAGTTTTTAAAAAACCAGGAAGTCTGTGTTACTTATGAAAATAACGGGAGAGGATATTATTTGTCTTTACGCTGGTGCCAAAATAAAAATTTAGAAGTATTTCAAAGTTATTATTGAAATTAAACTCTAGGTTAGAAAAATTAAACTGAAAGGGAATCGGGCAAATTTTGCAGCATGTATACCAGACCACAGGCCACACCTAGGCACCACGTGAGCTGCCATCTTGACGCTGAACAGTTAGGCCTAGCATCGCCGGCAGGGGCCTTCACTAGAGCGGCACATAACTGCTCCATCAAGGAATAGTGACACTGTAAATGGAAGACCAGCCACTGGCTCTGAAAAAAATAAACCTCATCAGTTTTGGATTCCAGCATTCATGGCTTTTAGGTATTTGCATAGAGAGGGGTGACAGGCCAGGCCCAGGGGCAGCCTGGAGCCAGATTGGGGTAGGGGCAAAGCAAGGCTGTAAACACTGGAGTCTGTACCGGCTCCCAGTCCGTCCTCACACCATGTTATGGGAGAAGGGTCACAAGGTGTAACTCAAGCAACTTAACACATGAAAGTCTAAAGTCCGCTCTTGACATGTAAGTCTGTGCGTGCGTTAACTGAAAAATAAAAATAAAACAAACAAAACAAAAATAGACACATTAAAAGATACACAGACCAAATCAAACAGAAGCAAAAGACAGCAAGATGGACACTGGGAAAGGGCAGTCAGTTTGGCATTTGTGACGGGCAAAGCAGAGAATTCGCTTCAGTTTGTGACGTCCCAGGCTGAGGGTCAAGATCTGATTGGGAAGTAATTTTTGCAAAAACAGATTAAAATCTGAAGAATAAGTACAACCAATCAAAGCTGTTCAACTAAATGGTCACGAAAAATACCCACCCATAAAATGTACTCCCAACCCACCCTATCCCCTTGACCAGGGCAAGAGGAAAACATGCCCCCAGCCACCCACCCACTCACTCCAGCCTCTTTAGGCCAACATGGGAGGAGTTCAGTCTCCCAGGGCCAAACCGACTGAAGCTTTCTGGCATATCCAGCAGACAGGAAGAGCCTGTCTTCCAGGCCTCGGCCAGGACAACAATGTACCACGGACACCAGACACTAGGGACAAGCCCCCACTGAGAGCTCTGCTGGTCCCCTGCAGCCAGTCTGCACCCCACCCCCACTGACCCTCAGGCCTGAACTGGTCCTTGTTTTCAATGTCTGTGGTTTCTCCATAGCATGTTTCCTAGGGGATCATGACTATTTTTTCTTTAACAAGATGACCTGGGCTAAGCTGTCAGAGAGAAGGGCAAAGTAACTTGGGTGCCAAAGATTTCACCCACCGCCCCCCAGAATGAAGTCCAAGATGGTTAAACTTGCTTATTTCCTGAGGTGGTAAGAAAATAATGGTACCAGATCCAGGCTGGGGAAAGGGAGATGTAAGGACAGATAAGAGCTCCACAGTGTGGCATGGCATGGGACTCTGAAGTAGGGTAGGTGAGAGAGAGCCAGGGCATCTGGACTCAAGTTAAGGGTGTATAAATAGGACATGAAAAATATCAAGGAGAGCTAGGGGTATGGTGGTAAAGCACTGGCATAATATGTGTGAGGCCCTGGGTTTGATCTCTAGTACCTCAAAAAAAAAAAAAAAAAAAAAAAAAAAAAGACAACAAACAAAAAGCCAAGAAGTGACTCAGAATTGCCCCAGTTGGCTGATAAATTGACAGCACTTGTGGAGGCTGAAAAAAAAAAAAAAATTGGTATCCTTTTCTCTTCCTTCCCTACTCTATATGAACAGCTCTAACCTCTCCTGGAAGGGCAGCCCAGTTACCTGGCAAAACCAGAGTCCTGCAGAGAGCTGCTATCCTTTCAGCCCCACATGCCCTTCAAAACAGCTGAGTAGTAATCACAGTGTCCAGGTCAGTGCTAGCTGGCCTTGAGTCCGGCTGCTCTTGGTTACCATCTGCCAGCCAATATGGGTCCCACACCCACCATCTCAGAGGCCGAGGATGGACAGCTATGGCTGTCTAAGCAGAAACCACAGGAAGTTTTGGAATCTGGCTAGAAATGCTGACAGTACCAGGCCTGGTTCCTCTCCTGGCCCCAGAGACTTCCCCAAGAACCCAGCAGCTCCACCCAGGACTCGGGGGTCAGCTTTCCCCATGTGCAGCAGGCAGGCCCCAGCTTCTGTGGGCGCTGCAGGAAAAGAAATGAGTGAGCAGAAGAGTGGGGGGGGGGTGAGAAAAAGAAAGGCAGAGCCAGGAAAGGAGAGGGCAAGATCACCATGTAAGAGAGCACAGGCCATGAGAGAGGGATGCAGATTATGGTGCATTGAGAGCACTAGTGCAGAAACAAGAATAAGAACCATGAGCAAGAAGAGGTAGCAGAACAAGTGAATATGAGGGAGAGCAAGACAAGGATGAACCAGAGAGAAGGCCAGGTGAGCCAGAGACGAGCAGGAACAGCAGAAGCCAGATCCCAGGGTGAGTGCACAGAGTAGAGAGAAGCCAGTGTAGCGGGGGAGCCCACCACT